CTGGACGCTGGTTGGTTGTTGCTATAAAATAACACATTGGAGGTGTGGAACACTCATTCTCAGACCACCATACGGTAGATGTGGTGAAGAAAATGTGGATTAAGGGAAGAAATTTGAATCATGGGAAAACAGACTGGCAGATGCGCATCTGGGCTAAAAACGTATTCCTGTGGTTCCACCATTCCAACCGGAAGAAGGGACTAGACATCCTCGTTAAACGATTCACAGATTCTTGATCGTCAAGCGCGGTGCTTGTCCATTAACGGCTGATAGGGGAAGGTGAACCTCTTGGATTTAATGCCACAGTATGCAGAAAAGTGCGGAAGCAATTCAATTTTGCCAAACTATCCCAACAGGGATATAGAGTGGGATAACTATCATAACCACCTTCGGGCGCACAAAGGTGAAAGCAAAGGGTCGTGGAAACCTTTTTGTAATGACATCAATAAGCAGTGTCGACTGAAGATGTGTACAGATCAGAACATAGCATCGGATACCTTCGAAGCCAGATCACAGCTGGACGGGAATCCCGATAAAGAGACTCTGGGCCTACTAATGGATATAAACTTCCCAGACGGTTCAAGACCTCTGGAACATATAATGGAAGTGAAGTAGGCTCAGAGTCCTCCATTGAACATGGTGTCAGATATTAATGTTTATTGGGTGGCCGACTTCAGAAGCGCCTTATAAACGCCGGGACAGACGGTTATTCCCGGCTCGTTACCGCTGATCCCTAGACTGTACAACAAACTGGATAACAACCATGTTTAGAGGGCATAATTGAACTATCGTCCGTCGATATGAAGGGAAGTTAAGGTGATATATAATATCCCAAAAGCTGGCAAAGCTCATAGTAATCAGGATTGCAGACCAGTGAGTCTTTCATCATTTCTTTAAAACGCTGGAAGACTAATAGAAATACATATGAACATACTAAACCAAGAAAATGGCGGTTTCGCAGCATGCGTACTCGGGGTAGATCCACAGAAACGGCGGTAAAGCTCGGTGGTAGCAGTTGAAGAATCTCTGGAAATAAAGAATGCACCCTCGTAGCCTTCTAGGATGAAGGTGCCTTCAACATCCAGGCAAAGGCCATATTGAGCGCAGCGCAAAGATCTGGGCATATCTGGGCCTCTCTCCAGGTGGTGAACAGATGTCTTGGGCAGGTCCAATTGTTCAACGCTGGGAACTTCAATGCACAGATCTGTCGAAGGGTACACCCAAGGGGCGTGTAATCCCACTTCTCTGGGTCCTGACAATGAATAAAATGCTTGTGGATCTAGAAGGGGATACATGTTATGACCTACGCTGATGATCTTAACTTGATCTCGGTTGGGAACAGTTCAGAACGCCACTCGCTGATCTATGCAGATGTCCATATTAAACAGATTAATCGTGGGCCGTATCAATGCGGACTGAATTTAAATGCTAGCAAGACAGACAATATTGTTCACTAAAACACAATGCTCGAAATCACGCCGCCGATTTTAAATGGCACCAGGCTAACGATAGGAGATAAACAAGCCGCAGGACTATTTTGGACAGGCTTTCTTGAAATAAGCGCAAATGGCGGGTAAAGAAAGCTGCTACGGCAGCACACACGTAATATAAAGAATGGTGGGGCAGGTGGGGACTGACACCTCGGGTGGCGCATAGCTGTACCACAACATGTTAGCCAAGGCCGATCATGACCTACGGGATAGTAGTATGGTGTGGTCTGAAAATATGCGGTCGGCAAAATGGAAGAGATACAAAGAACAGCTAGTATTTGCATCAGTAGATCTCAGAACTACGCCAAGCCAGGCACTCAACATAATTTTACACTGCTGCCAACTGATGATTTGTACTGCAGTAAATGGCGGCAGTCAGCTCTTGAACTGATCCTCCTATTAGTCGCCAGCAACAAGGGCATTCTATGATGCCAGGGAAGTTCGTTTCTTCCCAAACCTACGGATTTTCCGCAATCTAAGGGAGTAGACCTAAATCCGGTCCTCAATGTTGCTTCCTCAGGAGTGGGAAGGGATGTGAGGTGGACAAGGAAGCAGGATAAACTCTATACGGATGGTTCAAGCTGGATAACCGATGTGGGCGGCGGTGTCTTCTCGGCTAAACTAGATACCAATCGCCTTCCGGTTACCAGACCTGCAGTGTCTTCAAACGAAGTCACTGCAATTAAAGCAACTTCTTGTGCTAACGAAAGCGTAATCACAACAAGAAGTGTGTTATATATATCCTGAACAGCCAGACGGCACAGGAAATCTCCTGATGTCTCGCAGGATTTCGTCCGAGACGATGAAGTGCCATGATCTTCTAACGGATCTGTCATCCTATTTCACGGTAAATCTGCAATTCGTTTCAGGACACAGTGACATCCTGGGAACTGCGGCAGCAAATGGTCGCCAGAACAGGCACCACCTACAACTAGATCCTGGTAAGGTGGACCTAAATATGCCTCTGGCTACGTGTAGTAACCTAATCGACAAACATGTCGTAATATAGCCAGTGTCAGTGGGATCAATCACTGACCTGCTCAACCAACGAACAAACGTGGCAAAGAATGGAATGTCGACCGCACATGCCGACTGTTAAGGGTCAGGAATGATATAAGAACTCTCGTGGGGTACTAACAGACCACTGTCTAATAGGTGAACATCTGCCGTGGACTTGGCGCGCCATATAGCGCGACTGTGTGGGAAGCTGTCAGGAGTAGAGGAGAATGATTAAACATCTTCTGTCACGGTTGCGCAGCACTATATGGAAAGAATCGCAACCATCGGTCGTGGTTCTTGACGACGATCTCGGGTTGCACAGATAAAACTTGTCTCACTGATGAAGTTCATCAGAAGTACAGGGTGGTTCAGGGAACCAATATGGTGGGATCACCGGTCAAGTGTATCACAATGGGCCTCCCTAAAGGGCCTAAGTGTGTCGATGACAGCCGCTTTACCTACCTACCTACTTAGGATAACACGTTTGTTATTAAAGCAACTAATCTTAAATAGGCAGCAATAAGAAGAACAAACTATGCATAGATATTTATGTTGGCTCATCAGAAAGTAATTCTGACGCTGACCGGTTTTAATTTTAGATATGATTTTATTCAGGAGCTTTTAAGGGTTTAGAAAGTAGATTAAATGTTCTGTTTCTCTCGCTAATGTGTTCCATATCTATATTTAACTAATTTTGTAAAATTTTGACTGATTCGAACTCATTTAAATACTTATGTATCCTAAAGCGATCATAACTGACCTATGATATTATATGGGCTGAAGGCTTGGCCTGACTGAGAGATCCCTCAAATCAATAATTACTTGCTGTCGTGTACCATACTGCATTTTATTCGGCTGAAGAGCCGGCTCACTCAGATTCAAAAAGTGGATCGCTGGAAAAAAATTTCACTGCAATGACGTGGTCCAGATGAAAACAAAACAAATTTTGAAGGCCTCGAAGCGTACCACCGAAGAACCGATATCGAAATGTTGGAGAACCGTTACAACACTCATCTTCACTCTACATGAAGCATTCTAGACAAAGTTTATGACAAAGAATAAACCTATATTTAATTTTTATGCCAAAGAATTTTTAACCCATATATGTAGTATATGTTCGTTTTATTCCATTTTATTAGTATCGAATAACAGAATATATTGTAGTCAACACGCATATTACACTTTCAAATGGAGTTACAAATACTGTTATAAGGTGCATATAAAATATTATTGACCAAGCTATTGCAAAATCATTTGAAGATTGGTCGTTGAGTCAGATCTTAATTTGTCGCGTTCTGTACGTCATCAAGTGATCGACGCACAATGCGGAAATTAACTTCATTAAAATCCAAATTGCCATTTGCGACTTTCTGCAATTTGCAAAACATTAACAGTAAAAATGTGTACAAATTAAGCCACGTTTTAGAAAGCAATTGCTTACCTGATAGCGATTAGACATCATCCATAACTCCTCATTGCCGGTATGGGTTTTGTACACCTTCATGCCGCTTACAAACTCCAGCAGTTGAGGATCTGCCGGCATTTGAACATTATACGGTTTATTCGGATTCCAGCGAGTCAACATGACTGGATTGAATGTAACACAGTAGATATTGTTTTGACTATCAATCGCCTCAGCGGCACATGAACTGCTACGTGTGGCCACCTGACGGAAAGCCAGCGACATGGCACCTGAACTGTTCTCAAAAATGGTACGATTGCTTACGACGCTCAACGGCACTGCATACTCGTGGACAGAAGCCAATGGATGGAAGTAGAGCTGTTCGTCATCACTGGCCAAACCAAATATGCCATCCATTAGAGTGAATAACTCACCGGCAAGTGAGTGTACACCATTTTCGGGATTGGGATACATGAATCTATTCTGGATACGCCAAGCTGTATTTAACTCCGAGTCATATACAACCAAACCATGCAACGCGACATCAGTCTTGAGTGATTTATTAGCATAAAACAAAAAACCAAGAAAAATAATAAGGACACGAGTTAAGAGCAATTAATTATGTGAGCGAAAAGCTTGGAAATCAGACATCTTACGTACCATGTAGACTTGTACTTTGCTACAGCTACCTGTTGGTGGAGGATCGTTCACAGAAACTGTTGGCGTGATGAAGAGTGAAGCGGCTGCTGTGTACGTGCTTGGATCGAAACGATAACGATAGGACAAGGTATCGCTGTTTAAATCGAAGACAAGTAGCTGCGGAGAACAACGTTGAACCTGAGCGATAACGCCCGAATCAAGTACGAACAGCTGATTGCACTCCGTGATCTACAAGGTGGTAGAAAAGAAGTGAAAATATTAAACACATACACATGATCAACATGAACTTAAACTTACTGCCACACGGAATACAGAAGTAATTTTATCACAATCACTACCATTTGAATTGTGCCAACTGTAATCGGGATATGGCTGCAGGACTGGTCCATTCGCCTCATTGGCCTCAGTCACCACCGCCAAAGTGTACGGAATGCCCGTTGTGAATCTGGGTACTGTTGTAAAGACACGTGATCCCTTTTCGCCTGTGAAGTGTGTGGAAATTGGTGTGATTTTGTTATTGCTACTTAAGTTGACACATTACTTACAGTCCTGATGGACCGCCACATCGATGGGTGTTGCATTTTCTGGTGATAAATTGCCATTGTCTATTGCGTCTTGACGATCTGCTTCCGTGGCGAAGCCAAATACCATTTGTTTCCACTCATAGACTGCCTCCACCTCGAGTTGTTCAGCACTCAGTATGGCGTGTGGCATTAGAGCCAATAACAGTACAACAAAGAATCTTTCCCACATAATGCTGATTTCGTAAGTAGAACTATTGCTGTGAAATGTAGAAAAACTAATGAACCTTATAACGGTGGTTCAGTATTTATATGATGGACTGAAAGAGAACTTGAAATAGAGTTTTGAAAACCATAATTATTACTAATCTTGCAATAACTACTTATTTACCATAATAACTGCTTATTTACTTATGCTCATCAAATGATCCTCAAACGTAAAACAAATTTCTTCTAGTGTACACGTGATAGTGAAAGTGAGTTATAAAATTTATTTGTACAAACCTTTAGTATATTTACTTTACGCACATACATTTATATATAATATGTATGCAAACATAAATATTTTTTTGAAATAATCTCAACAGCCTACAACTAATTTATCTACAGTGAAACTCTTTCAAATTAAACATGTTATCTATAATATTTTTAATTATCATTGGTTGTTGTTATTATGCTCAACAATACAGTTATTTCGAAATATTAATACTCGAACTCGAGTTCGTTTCATCCCCTTGTTGGTTCGGAGGTAGGTATTTAATCTTTGAGTGGCAAAGATAGTTGAACCATCTTTACAGCATAGTCAACGATCTTATAGAAAATTTGAGTCGGTCTGCTTTGTAATTGCCTCATCCGCATTTTGCCAGTTAAAACTTGGAAATACTTGTATATGTTTTGGGATCCGCCATTGTTGTGTTCTTAATTTATATAATTGTTTGCTTTATAACTGACAGCGATGTTTTACTTGTATGGTATTAATTTTTGGTTTTTCATTATGTGCTATAAATATAATGTTATAAATATCTGTCGGAAATGGTCTCAATAAATTGAAAGAGTATTTGGTTTTATTGTAATACTTCGAATTATTCTTCCACAGGAATGCCAAAAATTAAGATATTCTTAGAGATTGAGTAATAAATGAAAAATCTTAAGATATTAAAATATTTAGAAACTTGTCAAGTCTTCTTAATTTAATTTGAGTTTCAGATAACTAAATTTTTTTATATTTAAATCGAATATATATCCGGGCATTCCTTTATAATATTTTTTTTAATCTAAAGTTTGGCAGTAACTGTTATTTTCTTTCCTTGCTTTAAATCTTTAAACTAACAGTATTAAGCATCACCATGTCTCACTTTGCTGCAAATCACCAAACACCATAAAAAGCAAATTAACTTTCACACTGATAGCTGAGTAAATAGCGGAAAAATATTTCTCTAAGAAATTATATTTTATTTGATAGTCTTTCCAACAATTATGTTAAATTTGAATTAATGATATATGTATATAAATGTATATATTCATAGTAATGCTCGAAAATTTTAGAGCTTAAACATTTGTGTAGCGAATTTAAGAACCAATTACCGCGGTTATGAATATTTAATTGCAAACTTACTTCAAAAAATGTTTAACGCGTAGATCTGATCTGAAGGGTAGGATTGATAGAATAACTTTCACCTTTTCGAAAACTTTAGGCACATGTTTGTAAATTGATTTTTAACTATTTTTATACTCTCGCAACTTGTTGCTACAGAGTTTAATAGTCTTGTTCATCTAACGGTTGTTTGTATCACCTAAAACTAATCGAGATAGATATAGGGTTATATATATATAAATAATCAGGATGAAGAGACGAGCTGAAATCCGGGTGCCTGTCGGTATATTCGTCCGTCCGTCTGTGCAAGCTGTAACTTGAGTAAAAATTGAGATATCTTTATGAAACCTGGCAGGTTTCTTGGTATCGTAAGACGCCCCTAATAAGTTTAATGAGCATATCTCCTATACCACTAAAGCTATAATAACAAACTTCACTGGGAACAAATGTTTTTAGCATCTCTATCGACCGTGTGAAAGCGGGTGAAATCGGGTGACAACCCCGCCTACTCCCCATATAACGGTACTGTTAAAAACTACTAAAAGCGCGATAAATCAAGCACTAAACAAGCCAGAGACATTAAATTTTATCTCTGGGATGGTATAAGATGATTTTATAGGAACCACGTTCAAAATTAGATAGTGGGTGTGGCACCGACCACTTTTATGTGAAAACCCATATCTTGGGATCTGCTTAACCGATTTCAACCAAATTCGGTACAGAATATTCTTCTCATATTTCTATATTATAGTACGAAAATTTGCGAAATCGGAATGCAACCACGCCTATTTCCCATATAACATCAAATAATATTCCATCTGATTTTTTCACTTTCCAGCATGCAAATCAATGATTATATCGGCGTAAGCCTTTGCGTGAATAATACGTTTAAAGTATGCCACCTTGTGACCAAAAATTATCTAGATTGAACCAAAACTATTCAAGCCCCTAGGTATTGAACATGTGGACCCCAGTGCCTATAGTTGACTTTTTACCGAAAATATCGGTCAACGAGTATACCATTTGACTTTACGAGGGTATAAAATGTTCGGTTATATCCGAACTTAGCCTTTCCTTACTTGTTAAATTTAAATTTAGATTGAATTAGTGTAAGCCAAAAAGTATTAAGATTCTGCTTTTTTTGAGAGAATTGTTGTCAACAGCTTATGCCCTCTTAAATGGGGACTGATGTCTAGTAGAAATCAATACACAGTGAAACTTATTCATCATCGATATTTCCTAAAATTGAGTGGAGACACGATTTCATGTTTACATATGCATGTAATAAATTGTTTAAAGAACATCACAGTTTCAGTACTTAGAACGAACACTCTTCCAATTGATTTGTCTTCAATTACTAAATTTGAGACTTTCATATTTGAAATTTTCTTATAACCATTGGCAGAGAGTAAAAGTCCCTAAAATGGGGAATACTGAAGTGCTAAATTCCTAACTGAAGTTTGACAAAGCATTGTTTTCGCAACTCCGGAACAGATGAGAATGCATAGCTAAGGTAGGAACCTATCAAACCATTTGATTAAAGACATAAATGATTTTTAAGAAATTTTAACCCATGACCCACGACTCATAGGAATTGCAGTTGACACATAAGACGAAAGTATTAATAAAGATTTGGAAAACGTAATTTTATTTGGCCTTAGCCGAGGCTTTTTTGCCACTTCACTTATGATCTTCAATCGAGAATTCTATATATTCTGGAAAAATAACTAGATTAAGTTACTTAGGACAATAAAGGGCTGGATCAAGGTGTTATGCGACCCGTGCCGAAGATCAACCTGGCTGGGGGCCCTTAAATAGCCCAGTCTCGCACGGAGCTTACGGATACCTGGCGCCCTCCGTAATAAGATAGCCTTACTTGCGTAGCGGGGGCTATGCGCAAGNAATAATGCAGCTCATAAGAGCCTGCAACCCAAATCTGCCAACTGGGGGATAGAGATTCGTCAAGGCCTTTGACGACCCCGCAGCGGAATCTGGTGTGGAGACGAAACGAGCCACAATGCAGATTCTGCTGCTTCTTACAAAAGAATCCGTAGAACCGCTAGCGAAAAGTGGCGGAGAGATCAACTACGGATTCACAAAAGTAAAGGTCATGACCTACAAATCAGACGCCGATGCAGGAGAAAACTTAGCATCGGAATCGGAGTGCGAAGTCGAGGAAGATCCAGTGGAGTCCTCGAGCGACGCAGAGATCACAGATCAAGGTGAGTGTACTTCGGGGTCTGAGCTTGCGGACAGACTCTCTAAACTTTACACTGAGAGTGGGCTTTTAAGCGACTCTCATGAAGATGCAGAGAAGACAATAACTAATGCGTCTTCTCCAAATTAATCTACACCACAGCAAACTAGCGTCTCTAGCCCTAGTAGTAGTACCATCGCAGCTGTTCAAAGAGCTGGTACGAGACGCCGAAGCATCCAAGTGTTCGATTATACTTGGGTGCGACTCCAATGCGCACCATACTCTATGGGGAAGCAAGGATATTAATGAAAGGGGTGAGTTGCTCTTTAATTATTTAATAGGAAGTAAACTTTTGTTATGTAACAAAGGTAGTACGCTAACATTTATAACCAGAAACCGACAGGAAGTATTAGATATAACACTGGTATCGGAAGAACTGGTGGATAAAATAACACATTGGAGGGTATTGGAAGAACACTCCTTCTCAGACCACCGCTACATTGAGTGTATAATTGAAGAAAATGTAGTTAGAGAAGAGAAATTTAGGAATCATAGGAAAACGAACTGGCAGATGCACATGCAGGAGCTAAAAAAGCGTATTCCTATGATTCCACCATTCCAACCGGAAAAGAAAGTGGACCTAGACATCCTCGTTAAACGATTCACAGATTCTTGTCGTCAAGCACTAGAGGTAGCTTGTCCATTAACGTACAGTAGGGGAAGAATTATACCTCCTTGGTGGTCCCCAATACTTAAGAACATGCAGAAAAATTGCAGGAAGCAATTCAATTTTCCAAACTATCCCAAGAAGATATAGAGTGGGATAACTATCATAACCACCTTCGGGCATACCAAAAGGAGGTAAGAAAAGCAAAAGGAAATTCGTGGAAATCTTTTTGTAATGACATCGAAAAGACGGCAGAAGTGTCCCGACTGAGAAAGATAATGACACAGTCGAAACATAGCATCGGATACCTTCAGAAGCCAGATCACAGCTGGACGGAATCCAGTGAAGAGACTCTGGGCCTACTAATGGATACTCACTTCCCAGACAGTTCCGAGAACCTCATAGCGGAGCATATATTGGAGAGTGAAGTAGGCTCAGAGGCTTCTCCGCTAGACATAGTGCCAGATGACAATGTTTATTGGGCAATAGGCAGCTTCAAGCCTTATAAAACGCCGGGACCAGACGGTTTATTCCCGACTCAGTTACAGCAGTCCCTGAGCTACACAACAAACTGGATAACAACCATGTTTAGACGGGCACTGAAATTGAACTATATTCCCTCGATATGGAGGGAAGTTAAGGTGATATATATCCCAAAAGCTGGCAAAAGCTCACATATTAATCCAAAGGATTTTAGACCAATTAGTCTTTCATCATTTCTTTTAAAAACGCTGGAAAGATTAATAGAAATACATATAAAAGACATACTAAACC